GTTTGGATCATTACAAATTATGATAAATGGGTCAAATCGGGTCAATTTCAAGTCATTTGGGTCGTATCAAGTTTTCTCTCATTAAAATAAGTTTAGAATCGGGTCGGGTTGGATCGGGTTAGAAATTGACAGGTCTAATATTACTAACCCATTTGAAACATCTAATTGTTATTTTGAACAATATGTCAATATATATTGGTTTACAGTTTTATTGTTTGTAGGAATTTATTAGAATGGTGTATGCAATCGGAGCCGTGGGATCAATAGTAGGTGTATTTATCTACCACAAGTTCTTGAAAGATTTCCCTCTAAGAACACTCCTGTTCTATGCTCAACTCCTCTACGCCGCATCTGGAATGTTGGATCTTATGTTCATCCTAAGATGGAATTTACCACTTGGGAATTGGGATCCCTGATTCAATATTTATTATAATGGAGGAAACTGTTTTGCATATAATAGCGCGTATTCGATGGATGCCAATGGTAGTCTTGAGTACAAGGCTATGCCCTTTAGGCATTGAGGGAACGTTTTTTGCACTTCTAATGTGCATAGATAGCTTAGGCTCCCTCTCTTCTAAGATGATTGGAGGAGTGGTACTTCATCTCTTCAATATTTCAAGAAGTAATTTTAGTAATTTGTGGTTGGCAGTTCTTGTAAGAAATTGCTTGAGATTTGGTACACTTGCTTTAATCTTTCTTGTACCAAATGTAACACAACATGATGTTTTGGTACCTTCCAATAACAAATATAATAATTCTAGGGTAGAGGAAGCAACGTTGGAACTTGTACCTTTGGCTAAAAATTAGAAATTTGATTACACCATAATATTTGGATTGTAAGTTAGTGTAAGCATAATAGTGGATGTTTTAATATTTTTATACATACGAGGAAGTATAATGTATAAATCTTTGTCTAAACAAGTGCAAGTTACGGAGTACATTGCTACAAAGAGTTTCTAATCAAGTAAAAATGGGAGATCATTTAATTTCTTCTACACTGTGTTATTCATAGTTATTGGTTTATAGGGTTTTATTTCCGCAAAAATGCTCCCTTGGTCCTAATTATAAGTGATACGTACGGATATTTTGAATAAAATTGGGACAAAGGCCGTAATTAATCAAACTCCTTATAAGATATTCGTTTGATCAAAAAGATGTACAGTTTATAACTTAGAGAAAAAGGTGAATTTGTATTTCGTAAAGTTAGTTTCTTGGAGTTGAAATTGATGAAGAAAAGGATAGAAATTTGGGAGTATGCATGATGAATTGATGAGCGATGATGTACCTTTGGTCATGGGTTTGTTGTTGATTTTGAGTTTCCTGGGCCTTAGAATTCAAGACTGCGACGGATGGCTTGGCCCAAGGCCCAAGGGCCCAAACCTATAGATACAAATCCAAATGCAATAGAATAGATCAATAGAGATAGAAAAGCTAATAGCCAAGAATTTTAAAGTTAAAAATAAAGCTCAATTGCTAATGCAACAAAATATCCAAAACAAATTAATGGCTTTATCCAAACAACATACATGCTACAACATATCTCTTAGGGACCAATGATTTAAGGAAAAGTAAACAGACAAACTAATTAACAAAATGAAAGTGTTAGCTAGTTTGTTTTGTTTTTATTTATTTATTTATTTAGTATTTTTTTTTTAAAATAGAATACATGAAAAAAAGCTTAGTTATATACAGAGTATTAATGAACTAGAGCTTGTTATTGGGTAGGGTAACTCAATGATAATAGGGTCAGGGTCAAGCTTAAAGGGTTTTTAATGGACATAGTCTTCAACAGGTAAGGCCCTTATTGGGTAGGGTCAGTATATGGTCAAAATATTTTTTTTTCAATTTAATAGACAAACAAAATATATAATGTAAAAATAATTACATAGATACATTTATATTCATATATATATGTTTAATAATGACTTTGTTCAATATTCATTTTTAATTGATATTTTGTTGGTCCGCCCATTATCGACTCGCTATTACCTGTATTGGCCCGATCCACTATTGACCCTATAAAATGTGATCCTTTTTTACCCAACCCGCATCGATCCTGACCCGACCCACCCAATAACTAGGTCTATACTAACTAGTACAACTATATATAAAGTCACAACTCAAGAGAGAGATAAAGCTAATACAGTCTCTACGATTCACTAATATATATGAATCATAAATATATTAGTGATGAAATCAAAGACATTTATATAATATAAAGTGTTTTATTTCAAATAGGTTGTGCATCATAACAATCGTAACCATCTAATCATATATTTTATAACTGTAAAATAATAAAGATATAATAACTCTAGGATTATTGTCTACTATTCCCAATCAATAATTAGTTTATTTTACACAAATCTCTTATTACTTGCTAGCTACTTGCTACCTTGCAAAATATTTATAAGAACTAAATTGTCCCTACTATTACATAACTAGTTAGATCACATCACCCACAATATATGTAATCTAATATTATCAAAGACCATTTGATTTTCCTAAATAAATAGATTGAGCCTTTATAAAATTAAACCTAGGTCATCCTCAAATCCTCTAGTCTAGCTTACTATAAACAATCTTCTTATAATTTTTATTTTTAATTTATACTTATACCTTGTGTCTTTCGTTGCCATCGAGAAGACATTCATCACGTTAGTTAGCGTGTATATTTTCTGTGAGGCGTGAAGCGTGATGCTGCATGACCCACCTCGTGTCAATATATTAAAAATAAATTACAACAATTAAAAAAATAAATAAATTATTAGGTGCGGAGAATCTTCTTAGGCTCGGACCGAGCCTAAAGATCTTCCGAACCTTCATTCGAAAGCATGTGTCATGCACTTATTGGAGATAATAATATAAACCAAAACTTTATTATATGATGAAAATAATATATATTCTCATTCACGTCCAAAACTAAGATCCGCCAACTAATTAACTAGGTTAATGTAGCATGGACCATCCCTAATTTGGTGTGCATTATTATTAATATATAATTAACTCTTTAAATCATGCTTTTTAATTCTTATAATTAAGAAGAAAAAAACACCATAAAATGTCAAGCCAACCTTAAACTAGTAAGTTAACTTAATGGAAGAAAGTTGATTCCATTTATAGTGGTAGTAGGAATAATTGTGATGAGAGTTTCTTATAAAAGAAATATTAATTAATCTTATCCACCGTCCTTAAACTCGCGTTAATTAATATCTTTCTTGTAATTGTGCAATTTGGTAACCACAGCTAGATATTCACATCACTTAAGTACAGTGTCTAGTTGTTAATTAGTCTATTAATCTAAATTTGTCGCCCCTAAACGGACCATAGATTAGAATCATCTTTTTTAAGTAATTATGTACATATCAACTCAACGTGGTATACTGCTGTTTGATAAGCAATAGTAGTAATATTTGTTGATGATAATTAAAGTTTTGGATATCTTTGGAAATTATTGATAGTTTAAGTGCTTCTATGTGTTTATCTCAGATCAAGATCATACACTTTCTGGATAAAGTCGTAACATCAGTAACATGGGAGTCCAAATCTATTTAGCTAATTTGGTAATTGGAAGTTTTATGCTATATTTATTTCCGACATTAATAAAAAGTTTGGATAAGATAAATTCATGTAAAATGATTTCAAATAATGATGAATAAGAATAATTCAAGTTCAATTGACTATTAAAGTAGATATAACTAATTTCAATAAGTTCAAATAAATATAAGATAAATCGAGTAGATAGATCACATCCTAATAACTAATTTAAAATAATATAGTGTTCATTTTTAATGATTATAATGTTGATTATTTACGGATACAAATGTGTTCATAAGTTTTCATCTTTTACATGAGTGTACACTAGTCACAGTATATAGTTTCAAGAGAGTAAGGAATAGCTCAATCCGGTTTCAGAGATTGATTCTCATCATCCGTCCTCGTGACTCTCTAAAACACCAAATAAAAAAAATAAATAAAAACAATAATATATATATATATGATTTTACTTTTCGAATCATGGTCATGAGTTTCAACCTACGCAAAAACCGTGGGGGAAAGGTATCCTTTAGGCAATCAGGCTCCTCAACTTGGTGGGCTTGTGGGTTTGAGACATATCTTTCTAAGACAAGTTTTTTTAAAAAACAAAGAAAAAAAAATGTAATAAACTAAAGTTCCGCTATGTTGTTTGAGATAGTTATTTTTTATATTATTTATTAATTTTTATATTTTAATTTTTTTACATTAACAATTGAAATTAAATTACTCATCATCATTGTCATCAATTTTTAATAATTAAAATTTATTTTCATAAAAATAAAAATAAATAAGTTGTTGATTAGGGCTTTATGCATTAAGGGTGTGTTTTATTCACCTGATTTTATATGAACTTATTAACCCTTATTAAATTAAAACTTTTTTAGTTATAAATTAAACTTGGTAGCTCTGATTAACCCTTATCACAACTTATCTGAACTTATTTTTCCTGAACTTATCTTATATGAACATATTAACCCTTATCTGAACTTATTAACCCTGAAATAAGTAGAAATAAGGTGCATATCCGGCCTATTACATATGTAGTATGTTAAATTAAATAATTCCATTACTATGCAATTATAATCCATGTTTATAAAAATCAAAATCAATAATTTTTCCTAAGAGGATTTGGTTTATTTTGAGTAAAATTTATTCAAAAAAATCTAAAATAGTGTTGTTTTCTTTTATCAATTTATGGATTGTTTAAACGGATAAGATAAGGATGCATGATATTTTAGGCATACGTATTTTCTCGAGACTAAATCCAAATTAATTAATCAAAGGCAAAGGATAATGTCTCCTTTTGCTTTATTTTGGGATTTTCTTTACCTATTATAACATGATCATAACTTACTATTCCCCTTGTTTTTGAAACTTTGAGTGATTCCAATCAGTGGCGGACCCAGGAATTTCCGACTGGTGAGTCACAATCGATAATCAAATATGTAAAATAAAATTTCACAATGACATGTAAGGAGACATTTACTTCCTAAACTTGAAAATAAACAACACGATTGGAGACCAAATTAACTACAACGGATGTAGCCTAAATACATATCAGTCCGCAACATGTTTTACAGGATGATCAATAATTTTGAAGCAATGCCTCAAGGCGTAAAAGCAATCCTTTTTTGGCACTTCAATATGATTCAAGCATATGATCAGGAATAAACACGAATAACAATTGATTCACAATACAAGTATACAATATTCCCAGCATGAAATAGACTCAAGAATTACAGAAATTGCCCAAATTAAAACCAAAATTACAGAGACTCACCCATATCCAGGCAAATTAACAATATACCAACTCTTGTTGATTAGAAAATGATTGATAAGCTGAGTCTTCCCTGCATATAAATTCAACAACCTAATCAAACACAAAGTTAACAAAACAAATGAAATCACAAGTATGAATCATATGCAAATAACCCCAACAGCGAATTACCCCTATTCATAATTGGTTGGACGGTTCATATTCAACTAAATCAAGCAATATTCAACTAAATCAAGCAATATTTCCCAGAAAAATTATTTACAAAGATCATCCAAATCAGTTATTGCGACACATACATGATAAATGCAGAATGAATGATAATAAATTCAATAATTAATATCAATGAAACAGAAAATCAGAAATAATAATCAATATCAATTAAACAAAAATTATAGGGCTCAACTACTCAACTCAAATAGTCAAATATCCGGTCACAACTTCAGTTTCTAGAGGAAAAATTCCCAAATCGGCTAATTAAAACCAATCTTCAGTTTCTAATCGGCTAATCATATTAAAATAAATCATTTGGGACTTAAAAATTATAATGAAGACAATTAGACAAAACTATAACTAAACACAGTCAAAAGACTCAAAACCAATCTTCAATTTCTACTTTTTTAGACGAAATTGTTTAGTTTAAGCAAACAAAATGATTATACAGATAGCAAGTACTTTATTTGAGCACAAATTCCACATAAATTAAGCTAATTAAACTTCCAAACAATCCTTATTCACACAAAAATCAGCTAATCCTGACTACCCATTAGTAGATAACAAAACCCCTTCAACTTTCCGAGCAAAAACTGGCACAAAACACAAATTTAAACAAAAATGACATAATTAAATCAAATACAGAAAACCTACATCAAAAATCCCCAAATCGTAAATTAAATTAGGCAATTAGCAAATGAAAAACACACATGAAGCCAAACACATTCAAAATTCTAGCTACTTTGCATATCTATAAGCACAAATCGAACCTCACCATCGCTGCTCTCCACCACCACCAACAGTTACAAATCGAAACCCTAGAAATCGAAAAAAAATCAAAGATTTGAACTAGTAATTATGCAAAGAAACCTTAAATTTGAAATTTAAAGGGGAAAGTTTAAAGAAGCTCATACCATGAACACCAAAAAAAATCCTAGAAATCAAACCACACAGTCGTTATCTCTCATGACCACCATGAGTCATTAGTGAATGAGGAGGGAGAATGAAAGGGGAACGCGAAATGTGGTTGCAGCTGCGGCGAGGAGAAGGTGAAAGGGGAACAGGCTGAAGTTAGAATTTTAGTGAATGAGGAGGGAGAATGAAAGGGGAACGCGAAATGTGGTTGCAAACTTGCAGCTGCGGCGAGGAGAAGGTGAAAGGGGAACAGGCTGAAGTTAGAATTTTTTATTTTTTTTTTATTTTTTTTTTTTAAAAAAAAGAAAACTTAGAATTTTTTTTGGGCCCTGGTGAGTCACTTGACCCACCAGGCACAAGCCCAGGTCCGCCACTGATTCCAATACAAGTGGAATTTTGGGCATTAATACCTTCTTTATGCTTCAAATTATACTTAGGTGAAATTTTATTAGATATGTCTCTATTTTTAATTTTCAAATATATATATATATATATATATATATATATATATATATATAAAATTTATTATTTAGCTTGAGATGTTTTAATTACAACATTGCATTTAAAAATGTGGTATTTAAAGTTAGTGATCTCCAACATTTGAGAATAATAGGGTGGCTAATGTGCGCGATGCGTATCATAGACAACTTTTTTAGTTGACAATTTAATGAGGGAAAATATGTTAAATAAATAAAATAAAATAAAATATTTTGAGGGTATAATTATCCAAATACTAAAGTTAGAGTTTAGAATATGTATGATTGTTCAAATACTATTCGTAAGACATAAATCATTAAATCATTTAAGGAAAAACTTAGAGGCAATTAATATCATATCAATTAAAGCATATGAGTAAACAAGCATTTTTAGTATATAATAGCCATCACACTATTTATAAGTGTTTTCTCGTACTTTTAAAATAAACTAGGGCAGCTAACGCGCGCCATATCGAGCCATATTCGGAAGTTCTTTTAGTTTGACCTTAAATCATGAATTTAGTTGTTGATATGTAACAACTATGTGTAGGGGTTTAATTGTCCAAAGCAACTTTTTGAGGGATAAATTTGGCACCACACTATTCATAAGAGTAGTTTTATACTTTTTATAAGGTATGGATATATAAATGCCCACATTGCAACTCTCTCGACCCACAAATATCTAAATCTCATTGATTACTCAATGTCCACTGTAACTACGTAACTCTTCCTATCGATTAATTACCCTTGCCCACAGATATCCAACTTTAGAGATTAAATCCCGTCAACATCAATGCCCACTGTAACTCTGTAATCTCCCAATCCACAGATTATTTTGCCACACAAATACCCAATACAAGAGATGATCAAATCCTGCTAACATCAATGCCCACTGTAACACTGTAACTATCCATATTCGGTATTAAAGATCAAATCCCATCAACATCAATATCCTCTGTAATTAACCTACCCACATATAACAAAAATAAAATTGTTTTTATTGATGTCAGCAAAGTTATGGGAATGTAATCTCTGTTTTCTGGAGTATTTTTAAATAAAAATAATTTTAAATGTTTTTGGCAGCATGCGTTTAATACTAAAAGGGGTGTCGTTTTAAGGAGAGAGAATAGTGCTCATATTACATGTGCTTGTAGGATCTAACAATTGGGCTGAAGCTCTAACACATAAAAAAACACAAGCCAAACCAGAAACAGCCAAAGGGCGTCCTTCCTCCTCCTCCTTCTTTCCTCACTAATTTCCCCCAATTTTTGAGGAATTTCAAGATCAATTTCACAGCAATTCAAGATCATTACTTTCATATTCAATCTTTTTTCCCAGAAATCAAACTCAATCATTCACCAGGTAAATTAATAAAATTCTACTTATATTCTTTCTTTTCTTTAACTTTTCTTTCCATTTGTTAATTATTTTATTTAAAACTTTTTAAATCGGTAAGCTTAAGTAATTTTCAGATTTGAATACGCCACTTTTTTAATCTAATCTTTAATTAAATTTTCTGGGGTTTGTTCCTTTTAATCACTTCTAAATTACTCTTTGTTGGGTACCTCTTAATTTCTGTTGTTTCACTCTAATTTTTGAGTTTGAGTCCAATTCAGAGTATCTTCTTTCTGGGCATTTTTTTCTTCTTCTAATTTTTTGAAATTCAAAATTTTAGAATTTAATTACTGGTTGCTTAATTATGTAATTCAATGATATGTACAGTATTACTTCATATGAATGAATTCAGAATTATAGGTTAATTTGAATTATTTAATTTTAATAATTGTAGTTTGGGAATTGTGTGCAAATTTCGTACAAGAAAATTATAATGAGGGGATTTGATAGAGAGAGATTCTTCTTTGAAACTGTGAAAACTTTAGGTGGGTATTTCAGAGTACATTTGAAAAAGGTTCCCTTTTATGGAAAATGGGATCTGCTTTTCACATCTCATTATACCCAAAAAGAATTTATAATTATTATCGTTTTCCCACAACAGTTAAAATTTTCACCAATAATCCAAATTTACCTGAAATCAGATAAATTAAATAATTATGATGGTAGGGGACAATTCAATTTGTGGAGGTCATGATTTCATCTTTAGTACAAATTGTCTCTTTGGTACAAAAAAAATTGGTGTGTAATCAATTATTTGCCGTTTTTATGATTTCGACCTCTGATTATGAAGATGATATGATTAAGGTTTGTTGTTAAGATTGTAATTTAATGTCATAATTATGGATTAAACTTCTCTGACTACGAAATGGTATGAGTAAAATTTGTTGATTTTATGTCTTAGTTATGTATTTGGAGTTTTGGACCTCTCTAACTACAAGAATGGTAGTAAGATTTGTTGTTAAGATTGTGATTTTCCTCGTATGTTGTAATTATGGATTTGAAGCTATCTATGATGATGGTATATTGGTATGAGTTAGATTTGTTGTTAAGATTGTGATTTTAGTATTTTACTCGTATGTCATTATCATGGATTCGAAACTCTGACTACGAGGATGATATGAGTAATTTTGTTGTGTAGATTGTGATTTCATGTCATAATTGTCGATTCAAAACTCTGACTTCGAGGATGATATGAGTGAGAATTGATAAAGATTGTTGTAGGATTCCAACCCATCTTGTTTAGATTGTGAATTTATGTTGTTTCTGTTTTCGACTTTGATTCAACACACTACTCGTATTCAATGATCCTAATGAAGTTATAATTTTTCGAAATTGTTTGGCAGTTGGGAGGAAGGACCAGTGAATTTGTTGCTGTGGATTGGGAAAGTGTTGGATTCTAAAAATGGAAGGAGACACATTTTCAGGACTAGGAAATGGTACACAGGTAGACAGTAAGGTATTACAGACATTTCAGAAGAGTTTTGTGCAAGTTCAGAGCATATTGGATCAGAACAGATTGCTAATCAATGAGATCAACCAAAATCATGAATCAAGGATTCCTGATAACCTTTCCAGGAATGTGGGCCTAATAAGGGAGCTTAACAATAATATAAGGAGGGTGGTTGACCTTTATTCTGATCTTTCTCATTCCCTAACTCGATCCATGGAAGCTTCATCAGAAGGTGATTCCAGCGGTGTTCTAAAATCCGATGCCAAAGCTACTCACAAGAGAAATCGACCTGGTTAGCTAGCTCCTCGTATCAACTCGACTTTGTCATTATTAGATGTTTTTAATTCTTTATCTTTGGTGGGCATTGAGCTAAATGCATACATCTATATAGTATGTATGTGCATTGAGGTAGAGGAAAATGATTTAGAGTTTTCTGTAACTCTTCTTGTATTCGGATACTTCTTTCTGAAAGTTACCTTCCCCCTTTTTTCTGATGAACAAAAAATGATTAAAAAAAAAATCTCATAAATAATTCTTCATAGTCTCAATGGATATGTAACTTCTTTGTTACTCTGAATCCAGTTGAAAATCAATCATGCTTCTTTAATTTCAGCCCTGAAGATAATTTTTCCTGTTTTTGGTCAAAGTTGATTTGTTTGATACTTTATATCTTTCTTTATTGCTCTATCATTATGTTTGTGTAAGTCAATGAATTAGTCTAAAGAGTAATCACAAGGCTAATGGTATAATGTCCCCTTTTGTTTGTTGTTATCAACTAAACCTATAATTAAGATTCACTGTTATAATGTAATTTGAACTAATACTGTAACACCTAAACTCAAATATGTGTATTATTGCTAAAAATTTGATGAAGACTATTCATTACACCTCTTTTGATCAATTTGATCAAAGTTTCTTTGATCAATTTCTTTAGAATGCCAAAATTCCCCTTTTTTCCTTCTGTTATTGAGCATGAGGCTTTGCTCAGAACTGAAGCAATAGAAAAGTGGCAGAAACTGTTTTGAGGTCTTTCATTTGAAAATCAAAATCCCTTTTTAATACTACAACAACTTCTACTGTTTTTTTTTTTTTTGGTGTTTGTGTTTGTAGAATTCATGAAATCATGCAAATACTCTGCCAAGATGCTCTGAAAAAATTGGAGGAAAAAAAAAACAGCTTTTAACATTTTTTTTAAAAAAGATCTTTTTTTCTTTGGGGGGGGTTTACAAATCACACAGACACACACCACCACAAGAACAGAATCTAAGATAAGGGGGGGTATATGATTAACTTATTTGACCAATTTAAATTTTTTTTGTTTATGTTGTTGTTTTTGATTTGATGTGATTTGTAATTTACCTTTTATATCCTATCACCAATAGCATTAATTTCATGGATATTATAATATAGAAAATGAAAATATAAAAAGGTGGGACTGTATAACATAGGTAGATCAAAAGCTATACTATAGTTGGTATAATTAAATAGACAGATATACAAAACAGTAAACCCCAACAGTATGACAAAGGGGCCCAAATTACTTCTTTTTTAATGGGGAATTGAAACAATCTTCCCATGCTTATCCATCCTTTTTCTCTACTTGAGATTTTTTTCTCTCTTTTTTTTCTTTTTTTTTTTCCTCCTTTTCCAAATTTCTTGTTTAATTTTTTTTGTTTTTTTAGGATAAACTGAGAATAATTAAAGTGAACTGAACTGATTGGGGGTTAAACTGAACTGACTAGAGCTGAAGTGAATTGTTTATGAAAGAAGGAAAATTAAAAACAAAATTGAACTGAAGTGAACTGAAAGTAAGTTGAACAAAACAAGCCCTTACTCGGTTACTCCCTCAATTCAACCGTTTCTATATAGACATAGATGTGCAGTGCATTGCACAACTTTAACCGTTAATACAATATAGTTTAGATATGAAGGCAGTAGTAGAATTTCTTTTGATATCTTCAATTCTACCAGCGCAGTAGACAGTAGTGCTACTCTTATACTGTTGTTTAATGCAAGTAGATGTCCTTTTGTATTTAAATTCAACTGATTGGATGCACAGTTGTTCTCTTTCTATAAAACAAAGGAATCTAGGAGTTGTGTTGGTAGACCCTCATTAATAAGTGTTGATCAACTTGGGCATGTAGCCTGTACTTCTGGGGTGTAGTGTAGCCCTTTGAATTGCAAAAAAAAAAAAAAAAAAAAAAAAAAAAAAAAAAAAAAAAAAAAAAAAAGCCTACCTTTCTAGTACAACAAGCTTAGTGCATCCACTTTTCAGGTTCATCTATGCTACCCTTAGGTTAATTTTCACTAATCTTGTTGTGCCTTATCTTCATTTGACTTGTTTCACAAAATTACATATCGTCTTGCGAGTGTGTTATGCTAATCTTGTCTCGACCTTTCTTCTGTGTCACTTTCTGTCAAAAAAAAAAAAAAAAAAAAAAAAAAAAAACGTAGTATATCTCTTATCTTTCTTTCTAAGATTTTAAATAATTTACATTACAATTTTATACCATTATTAAAAGTGTTATGTTAGAATTTCAACAAATTAGCCAAAAGAGCTCAACAAATATTCCCCAAAGTGAATCACCAAATTTCAACACCTTGTATTCCATTAACAAATACTCACCTTGTTCCAAATAAATTTGGACATGTTTATCGATAAGATCTGTTTTAATATGTAAATAGTATCAAAGTCCAAACACAACAACATTTATAAACTAATACAAGTAGTAGTAAAGGATTATTTTACTATTATGCGAATCAAAGTGTACGTGTAAATTTAATAGAGACGTAAGTAAGATTAAAAGCGATTGAGACAATGTTACAAGTGTAAAATGATTTGCTTGGAATAAACGAATAAATGATGAATAAGAGGAAGAAGAGATCAAATGGGACCCAAATGTAAACTAGGCAAAGACAAAGTAATCATAGTTGAGACTTTGAAACATAACATGTGAAGGTGGGAATCTCACTTTACTCTCTTGTTCTCGGCCTTCTGTTCCTTGTGTTTCCAGCATTTGGTGTTGTTTTAACACAAGTTTTGGTCTTTGTTTTTCTTGCCTTTTTTGCCCTTTTTCTTTGATTCCCATCATTGCCTGCTTCCTAGTTTCAATTGTAATCATGCTTTTTCTTGCCCTAATAAATTAACTAATTATGATTTTATGGATTAACTAGGATCTCAATTATGATTACTATACTTGAACAACTTTGGTGGAATTGAAAGAATGACTTGAAAGTCTCTTGATGTCAATCAATATTACTGTTGGTTCACATTATTTTTGGTGGTTAAGCATATTACAATTTATGATTTTTTCACAACCACAAGTACTTGCGATACTGTTCACTGATTTATAAAAGTTAAATAAATGCTAATTTAAAAGCATCAAAACAATATTCTTGACACGCTGCTATTATACTATAATTTGTTTTGATCTTTCAATCTACGGTATCATTAAAGAGAGGGCCATAAATGACGACAATGTAGACAGAATTTGATACCAAATTCAAGGTATCACTCACAAAAGTTCAACCAACTAGCTAGTTAGCATTCACAAAATAGTCTTTTGCTACTCCAAAATAATAATAATAATAATAATAATAATAATAATAATAATAATAATAATAATAATAATAATAATAATAATAATAATAATAATAATAATAATAATAATAATAATAATAATAATAATAATAATAATAATAATAATAATAATAATAATAATAATAATAATAATAATAATAATAATAATAATAATAATAATAATAATAATAATAATAATAATAATAATAATAATAATAATAATAATAATAATAATAATAATAATAATAATAAATAAAGAAATAACTGAGCCGGTAACATAATATTGGTTTATACATGTGCTAAAAATCTAATGATTTTTCCTTCAAAAAACTAATGATTTATTTCAGAACAATACGGAGTACTTGTTTAGAGTTTTTGACATATTTTCTAGAACTCGTTCACTTGGGCTTTAAGACTATAATTTGAACTGGGCTTCAGCCTTGCATATGGACTGTATCATCAAACATCAAAATCTGAGTTTGCACTTTGCAGTTTTGCAACATGTTACTAATGTGCATAATAGATGTATGGACTGTAACTTGCATTCATGTTAAACTAGTATTTGACTTCGGGCGATGGACGAGTTCTAACATGATCACAACTATCAACTATGCCCTTAAGCATGTAAATATTCGAGTACGATACATTGATATAGGTTAATACTGAACTGGAAAACATGTAACTCGAACATATGATACATTGATATAGCTTAATACTCATAACAGTAAGTGTTTAGTGTTGAAAGCTTGAAACATGAGACTGAAGGTTTGGAGGGAGAGCGTCATATGGCTGATAAACTTGCTTTGATCTAATAGTTGAATGGTGAAAACCGAGCATGATTTCGGAAAATTAAGAAGCTAAGGTTTATTTAGCTCTTGAATTTTTAATATTCGAGTATGGTACTGATCAAGAGGAGTTACAAGCTTACAACCTTCCAAGTACATTAATTACTAAACCTTCCAAAAAAAAAATAACATCTACTACTTCAGGATTAACATTATAATACCTATGTGAGAATTAAGTTACCCAATAACCCTCCAATGTACCACTTTCATTTGTACAAAAATTTTAAACAGGGGGGACTGGTAATTATCAGTTACAGATTATTACATAACCGGCGAAAGTTCTGCATTAGGAGTAAAATCAGTAAACGCGTAAGTTGGACCTGCAAAGGTCTGTCACAATTTCATCAACCAAGATCTGAACAATATCTTGACTGATCTCGGCACCCATTTCATATGCTTCGATATCAAAATCTGTCCATTTACCCAATGAAGTACTCATTTCCCTCTCTATTATCCCGTCTGTTGTGTTCCCGGAAAAGCTAATCCACTTCCTAACTTCTTCATCGAAAGTTTTAATCAAAACTTCTGCATCGATGCTCTTTGGTAGCCTACTCCATGTCCTGAACCCAGAATCAGAATACCGGGTGTACTTTACATCGAGGCACTCTACAAGACAGTCAAACAGAAATCTCCGTAACGGGTTATCCTCTTTTCTCACCTCAATACCGAGAATGATGCTGTCTTTCCATGCTGCAACAACAAGGGATTCTAGCTCATCTAGAAATGGGCCTATGAGAAAATCTAGAATTCTTGATGAACTAGGTGCAGCAGCATTGCCAAATAAGAGTTCAGCATTTAAAACAATCTCCTGAATGTAGTCAAGCTTGGTTGTGGTTAATTTAGAATGAATGCGATTGACATTCTGTAGTACTGATGAGGCATGATTTACAAGATCAGTCACCACCATAACACCACAGCAGCGAGGCTTGTTCGTTGATGATGCAGAATCCAACAGATCAGTGTCAGAACAGACCATCGGTTTAACTGTATGCCAAAGTAAGTCTGTTAAGTCAAAGTACAGATATGTAGAAGACACAAAAATCGCTTCAGAAACGGGTTTATTATATAAAATATAAACAGCATAGCTAAAAATCAAACACCTATGATGTAAATGCTATTTAAGACAGGGCTCACAATATCCTCAGAAATCATTTACCTGAGTTATCATCAATGCTGCTTGAAATGCAGCTATCATTTGAAAATGAGGCATCAAGAACACATCCTGGGCTAAAATGGTCAACTTCACGAGAAAATCCGTCCGAAGATCTTTTGTTCCTCAACTTGGCCTCACAGGCCTGTGAAAAGAAAAAAAAATAAAAAATTGAGGACCAGTTGTCAGATAATGGAAATGCATCAATTAGACAATTACTTCCTACAACACCCACTTTCAAAAATACAGTCAAGGGACCACTTGTTAGCTGAAAATGCCAAGATCACAGGATTGCAATCAAGCGACATGAACGATGTGATATATAGCCTAGTCTTTTCTTGCAGATGTATGATTCTACCTGGAACAAATTTTAACCTGGACAGAAGTCACAGAACAGCTAACGGGCTTATACTCAAAGGAAGACAGACGAGAAACATGTCATGGAGACAAAGACAAAGATGATCAAATTGCTTAAATAATGATCGCAAAGATGATGGTTCAGCCAAAGGTTATGATGTGGCAGACTGCATATACACGTTCACGCCCGTTTCTTTTGTTTAGAATAATACAATTAACATAAATATACTGTCCTTGGTCTATGAGTCTCTTCATGGAACTATAACTCTATAAGGTATGTACACAGTATATCATATTTCATACCAGTCTAACGACCATATATTAAACACATAAGCCATGAGCATTTGTACATGTGAGAAACAAATCTGCTAAAGGTCAAGAAATCCTAAGTTTTGTGACACTGAGAGACTGAAGAAGAATGCAGATTTCAAAGGCATTTGCAAAGTATCTCAACCTTCCAACATAATTGAATCACACATGACTTCAGTGAATTTTTTTATGAGCTTTAAAAATGCAAAAAGCTAACTAAAGATCAAATAACTAACTTTAGACAATGAAAATTAACCAGAGTCCAAAGAACAAGCAATTTAAGCAGCAACTGACCTGAGAAGCACTATCTGTAACTTCGCTATAACACTGTGAATCTTTTGAATCAGTTCCAAGGGATTCATCCTCACATGAAACTGGCCTCTCAGCTGTCAAAGCAGATATTAGTTCCTGAAGAATTGAAGCAGTGGTTCTTGCAGACGGCATGAATCCTGTTGCTGCTTCATTTTCTACTTGGTTAGAAAGTTCCTTCAACTTTTGCTCCAATAAAGCACCTAGAGCATCTCCATTCATTTGCAAATAGTTTTGGGATGGTTTTCTCACACTGGTTTCTTCCGTTGTCAATTTATGCTGTAGATTCTCGTTAGTGGAAGAGTGAATCAGATCCCTTCTTTTGGCACCCATTTCATCAGAAGTTGTCCCTGTAGCTGACTTTACTGGGGAGTTGAAGGTGAAAGAAACAATATCAGTATTTTTATTACCTCTTTGGCCAGAAGGCCTGCCTCTGAGACCAATTTGATTTGCAGGTGGAGAATGGATTCTTGTCCCATTTCGAGCTACAATATTGACCTTATTACTTCTTTGTTTATCGAGTATGGAACTTGCAGCATGTGCATTGTCAGCTGGCCGATTAACATTTATAGTCCTCCTTTTCCTAACTGGACTGCTTTCTGTTGCTAGAGATTCATTCTTCCCTGTACAAAATCTTCTTTCTGTCTCGATACTGCTATCAGGTTTGCTGGGAGCTCTTAGACGGCTCCTGCTCACATTTCTGTTGAGGGCAATAAAATCCTTTGTTCCATTAACCGGATTGACAGCTGATGGAACTCTTCTTCCCTGTGTGTTTGCTATTTTAGACTTTGGTGGAACTCTATCTCCATGCAACAACTGTCCATGCCTCTGAGCCCTATGCTTCGTGTTAATAGAAGGAGATGCATCCTTCTGGGAGGTAAACATCCTGCTTGCTGGTATCTGCTCATGACACTGTGACTGATGCACCTCATTCCTGAACGTTTCGTTTTGAAAGGGTGATCTATTATCCACTGGCTGGGCGGTCACACTTTCAGACTGGTACCTGGTTTTCAACAGAACCACATCGTTTTCATTTTCCAAATATACAGCCGGTCTTGGCCGACTTTCTTCCAATCCATCAAAGAAAACCTCCCTAAAATGAGACCCTTGCAAATCAACATCCCTATATTTGTCTTCGTCATTATATCTCAAATTCACCTCCTGCTCCAACATGTTCCCACAACTTTGACAAGCAGCTTGTGCATTCAACATGTCATTTTCCAAATCAACCTCCCTTCTCACCTCATTCATGGCCCCCTCCTTCCACGGCTGCTGCACTCCTGAGTTAGAATAAGTAAGACTACACCTAGCACGGTTCGTTGCTTGTATCCCAGGTTCCAAAATCCTAGCAGCAACATCGATCAACCTAGACGAATTCCTCCCCATTTTGGGACTCTTCACCGGGGAAGCAAGCTTCGGGTGGTGGTGATGATGATGTTGATTCTTCCTAGACCTTGACAAAACATTCCTAATTTGCAAAGCCTCAGCCCCAAACCTAGTAACCGGCTTCCTATCAGAACCCCCCGTCTTCTGAATCTTTTGAGGTCTCACATTCCCCTTCTCCGGACTTAAACTCAACTCCTCCTTAACCAACCCACTACCAAATTTCTCTCCTTTACCCTTATCACATTCACTCTTCGTCAAATCCTTGCTATACTTATCATGCTCTACAACCGGACGAGGCATTGTTTCCAATCCCATTAACCTAGCAACCAACCCAGGAGCTTTCATTTCATGCTTTTTACTCTCTAAACCCCCATTTTTCTTCGATTTACTCGAAAACCCACCAGCATTGCTCTCATCAGCCATCTACAATTTTGTTACATACAAACACAATTCAGTAATTTTTTGCACTAGAAATGTACCTAATCAAGTAATTATTAAGCCAGCTTCAACTCGATACAATTCAAATTACACTATCAACGTGACTATTAATTCGCGGAACAAAAAAAAAAAACCACTAGGGTAAAAAGACAGTACTCCTTATCCAAAAATCAAACATTTATATCATTCAACACATCAAACTCAAATCAAGCAGTAAAATTCAGAGTGTAGTAAGAAAATAACAGCATACCAATAAATGCTTATGCTTAGTCACTGGCAATTTCTCCTCCGCATTGAATTTCTTCGAAACTTTCGTACGAACTGACAATATAAACACCATCAAATTCAGTAAAATTAACCCCATTAATTTCCCCCAAAAAATAAATACGGAGTATTTAATTTCTAAAATTATTAAAAATAAATAATAACCTGGAGGAAGAAGCTTCTTGGGGAAGAATTTGTTCTTGGAAAACCTCCGATTCCAATCAAAAAGCTGGAAAAAAATCCCAACACAACCACCAGCCCTTTGAATTTGCGGCTTTTTCTCAGTAATTGCTAAAGCTGATGAAGTTCTTGCTGATAAATCACTCATTTTTACTATTTTTTCACATAAATTCTTCAGAAAAATAGAATTAATCAGCTAAAATAGAAATGGGAAGAATTAATTAGAAACCCAGATTTGAGAAGGCATATTATAAGAACATCAATCTTCATAATTTTGGAGTAAAAATGCAAACTTTAGATTAAAAATAAAAAAGGGGAGATTCGAAAAAAAAAAGAGTAATAATGAGTGAATAATAACAAGTAAGATAAAAACGAGAATCTCTGATTATAAAAGCGTGAAAAGGCAGAGATTTAAGCATACATCGCAATCACATTGAAAAGGGAATCTTAAAATAATAGTAATAATTAGAAAATAAAAGAAAGTTATGATCTTTGATCTGGGTTTACAATGCAAATGACAAAAACCCTAAAAAAAGAAGGAATTGAAGGAGAATAGAGAAACTGTTATGCTTCTGAAAAAACAGGGGAATCTTTAGTAAAATGGATGAATTTTCTCTCTCTAAAAAATGAGATATCTCTATCTTAGTTGGTTTGGGTTTGTGGGGAGGAGAGAGAAAGAGTGAGTTCACAGGTGAGAGTGAAGAGAAGTGGTCACACACTCACTGAGTGAGTAGAGTAGAGTGGAGGAGTGAGAGTATGAGTACAAAATCACAGAGATGGGGGAAGGTTGAAAGGAGCGTGTAATTAATTAGTGGGACATTTTTTGACCTAATTATAAATCTAATCTTATGTAATTACACTTTTTTGGGATGTCTTTTGTTAGTCATTGTCAAATAGTGGTGTCTTTATGTCTAATTTGGAGCTAATAGTCTTTTGTTGTTGGCTTCTTTGATTAATGCAACTCATCTACCCAAAATGTGTAGTCTACTACTTTATGCCTCTATTGATACAATATGACTTGCCTTTTGGGTTTAATGTTTTAATAATATATAGTATTGGTAAGAAAAAATGTCCATAAAATTAAAACTTTGTATAGGTTAATAGTGTCCGGGTACGCAGACAAGTTCCCTTAGTAGTTAGTACAAACCTTATTACTTTAACTTTAAGTTTCTGATATACAAACCTTATTGATTTGGGTATTTTTACTCGGCCAGGTGGCCCAATCAGAAACTGTCATGTGTCATTAGTAAAGGTGTTATTTGGACCTATGAGATGATGACACGTGGTGGGCGAACATCCTTCTGTCCTAAAAAGATTGATGATCCAGCATGGACCATTCAGAGGGCGACGCGTGTCACCCTAAAAGATGCCCAAAAGCCTTTTGGGCTCAGTGACACGTGTCACTCAGACATTGCCTCTGGAATGGCGGCCTTCAAGGGCCCAAACCTTGAGGCGCCGTTTTGCGGCATGACCTAATCCCTAGGTCATCAGATCCTAGGGAGGGCACACTTTCCAAAAGGACCCTATAAATAGGGACAGTTCCTACATTTATGAAAAGAAAAACAGACAAACGTAATACGAGACAACACGTCACTTTCACATTTACTACCGTCACTTTCAAGGAACAGACAACACTTTAACTTGGCTTGGAATCCGAGCAGATAACTTTATTTCCGCACGTTTTACTACTGAATACTTACTAACTTAATCTTCAGAGGCGGACCACCGACCATCCGGCGGTCCGTTTGATTTGCAGGTACAGGCGTCCTTTGCTGAATCCAGTCTCAGTGTTGTAACTCCCCAAGGGACAAAAACACCCGAAACATTTGGCGTCGTCTGTGGGGAGAGTACCTCTGAAATGGCTTCACAAGTCCCTGTACCGAATCCTGAGGCCAATCGGCCTCCAGAAGATATATTGGTCCAGACGGACCATGACTCAGGGGACGACGCTGATGTCGAAACCTATGTGGATCCTAACGGGTCCCTCATCTCAAAACGCATCCGTAGTAGGGAAAAGTGGGAGCGTCACACTGATCAGGCAGGGCCAAGCAAAACTGCTGGTCAGCCAAAAATGACCTCGGTGGCAGGATCGACTCCCGTCACTCGCGATGAACTCATGAAAATCCTGGGCAGTCTTAGGGGTGAAATCAAACAACTCGCCTCAAAGAAGTCACCTACTCCTAGAAAGGAGCAGTCGGCCAAGAAACCAGCCCAGGCTAACAAACAGAAGTCGATCAAGGACCGTCAGCCGACTCCTCATCCTGCCCCTACGGAGAAGGCTCGGCCCCAATTTGACCTTACCAGGCTCCGTTTCCCCGAAACGAGCACAAGAAAAGCCATCCGGCACATACAGCCGGATGGTAGCAAGAAAACATTCTCTGATGCTCGACAATACATTGAGCAGAAGAAGACCCAGCTATCAGAGTCGGCCTCAACATCGACCTACCATGATAGCTTTCGGAATACCTCTGTGAGGTATTCCCAGTCTGTACAGGAGACTCTAGCAAGCAGCCCACGGGTTCAGTTTGGCCCTCATATGATCCAGTCGGCCCAGTACATGGCTCAGCCATTGTACCAGTCGCCTGCTTTTCCTTACATGCAGCCTGCCCTCTTTGGAGGACAGGCGGCAAACGGCTATCTGCCGATGGATTGGCAGCTCAGGCTGCAACACCTTGGAGATCAACCCTCTGCCTTCTCCAAGGAAATAACCAAAGCCGAACAGCCGGCCAAGGTTAAAAATGTTCTGGTTGGAACCTATGACGGGACCTCCAACCCAGAAGACCACCTGCTAGCATACACCCACCTCATGTATTTACAAGGGTTGGATGATGCCGCATGGTGTCGTTGCTTTCCAGCCACCCTGAAAGGCATAGCCCAACAGTGGTTCGGCAATATACCGGCTGGTTGCATTAATAGCTTCAAGACACTTGCGTTCTTGTTCGCTTCAAACTTCTCTATGAACATCCCTGCCAAAAAGACAAGCCTTAATTTGGGAAATGTACAACAGGGAGATAGAGAAGGCTTGCGTTCCTATATCAGGCGGTTCAATCTGGTACGAATCAAGATTCATGGGTTATCTGATGAGGTCGCCTTCACAAACTACTTTAAGGGTTTGAAGGACGGGTCTACTTTTAAGTATGAACTCGTCCGCAAACAAATCTTTACTCTGCAAGGAGCCTTGCGGGAGGCACAAGTCTACATACAGGCGACCGAACTCTGCTCCTCCAATAAGCAGTCGAACCATAAGAAGTCCGACCGACAGAAGGAGAGTCGGCCTGCTCAACCGGATCCTAAGCCAGAGGAGAGAAAAAAGAAAAAACAAGTTTGGGCCATTGATAACTCTGATCAACCGGCCTAGAAGAAGAAAAAAGAGTGGAAACCGTACGTTCCAAGGTACGAGTTCCACAAGGACTGCTGCTCCATCCTATTGGAAATTAAGGATCGGCTGACTCTTGAGAAGCCGACTCCTATGAAAGGTTCTGATGAAAATCGGAACAAGAACAAGCATTGTCATTTCCATGAGGATGTCGGCCATGACACGAACGACTGCTTCAGTCTCAAGCGGGAGCTCGACCGTCTAGCCGACAAAGGATAGCTGAAGTCCTATGTGAAGTCCAAAGTGACTTCAAAGGCAAATCCGGGGCAGCCCAAGAAAAAGACTCCCCAGCTGGCTGTGAGTGCCGAAACTGATGAAGATCCGGTATACACCATAATAGGCGGATTTGTCGGTGATGGCCCGACCATCCGGGGCACCAAGGACCATCTGAGGAAGATGGTCAACTCTGTTGAGGAAGGAGAGGCGGCAGGCACGTCCACCTTCCCTAAAGTTGTCATCACCGAGCAGGACAGAGGCAAAGTCCGTCGGCCCCATGATGACCCTGTGGTCATTGAATGCAAGGTGGCCAACCAGCTGGTTGGTCGAATTCTGATTGACACAGGAAGCTCCTCAGACCTCATCAGCCTCAAATGCTTGTCAAATATCAAGTACAAACCGGATAGCATGATGGAGGTCTTCCACGCCCTTGTTGGGTTTGGGGGAGGGCTTGTGCACCCAGTCGGACGCATTGATTTACTTGTCCGCTTGGGAAGCAGGGGAGACGGTCAGAACATGACCATCCGTTTCCTAGTGGTTGAAGAGCTCACATTTTACAACCTCATCTTTGGCCACCCCACTCTAAATGAGTGTAAGGCCGTCATCATCCCTGCTCTCATGCTGCTCAAGTATGAGAAGGATGATGGAACAGTCGATTCCCTTAATGGGGACCAAAAGACGACTCGAGAGTGTTATCTCTCGGACGTCAAGCCTGCGGCCGCAGCATCCGGCCGGGGCAAGCAAATGATCGACCTCGACGATGTCGAGGAAGAACAGTCAGCCCCACCAGCCGGAAAGAAAAGAAAGACTGATCAGCTGGTGGTGGTCAAAAAAGAAAAACAATAGCAATCATTGACCGGGGAACGGTCAGATGATCTCCGTCCCCAGCCTACTGGCGAACATATTGATATCCCTCTGGACGACAGCCGCCAGAGCGGACGGTCAAGGTGGGGACGATTGCTTTTTCAAAGCTGGGTAAGAGCTTGCACCAGCTATTGAGAGAATTCAAAGACATCTTTGCCTTTGAAGTGGAACAGATGCCAGACATCAGCCCGGATCTCGCTGTCCACAAACTCGCTGTGGATCCTAAAAAGAAGCCCATCCGGCAAAAGAAAAGAAACCATGGCGAGGAAAGAAGTCAGGCGGCAGCCGCCGAAGTTAAAAAGCTGCTTGACGCCAAGTTCATTCGGCCATGCAATTTCCCTGAATGGGTAGCTAACGTTGTGTTAGTAAAAAAGCCGAATGGAACTTGGCGCATGTGTGTTGATTACAGACACCTCAACAAGGCATGTCCAAAGGATAGCTATCCACTGCCTAAGATCGAAAGTCTGGTCGATTCAACAGCTGGACATGCCCTGATGAGTTTTATGGACGCCTACTCAGGTTTCCATCAGATCCCCCTGTGGAAAAAAGATCAAGAAAAGACGACATTTGTCACTGGTCAGGGGTTGTTCTGTTATACGGTGATGCAGTTTGGTTTGAAGAATGCGCCTGCTACTTTCCAACGAATGATTAATACTGTCTTCATTAATCAAATCGAAAGAAATGTAGAGGCGTACATTGATGACATGATAGTCAAATCCAAACAACAGGCGGATCATCTTGCTGATCTCCGAGAAACATTCGCCACACTCAGGCGGCACAAGGTCATGCTAAACCCAAAAAAGTATGTCTTTGGCGTTGAGTCTGGGAAGTTTCTCGGATTTTTGATTGACCTAAGGGGAATAGAGGCCAACCCTGAGAAAATACAGGCGGTAATCAACATGCAGTCGCCCCGTACTGTAAAGGAAGTGCAAAAGTTAACAGGTAGCCTGGCGGCCTTGGGGAGATTCCTCAGTCGGTCAGGCGACAAGTGTCTCTACTTCTTCAAGGCAATCAAAAAGAAGACCAACTTTGAATGGGGGGATGATGCAGAGGCGGCCTTTCAAAAGCTGAAAACTCATCTGCATTCTTTGCCGAGGCTTGTTAGCCCTTTGCCCAAAGAGAAGATCTTCATGTATTTAGCCTCTCTGATCATGCCCTCAGTGCCGTTCTCTTAGCTGAAAGAGACGACATCCTGCTCCCGGTGTATTTCATTAGCCATGTTATGAGGAACGCAGAGCTTCGGTACCCCATGGTTGAAAAATTTGACCTTGCTCTTTACATGGCCATCAAGAAGCTAAAACCCTACTTCTTGGC